TTTTTTTTTTTTTTGGTTTTTCGAGACAGGGTTTCTCTGTAGCTTTTTTGGTGCCTGTCCCGGAACTAGCTCTTATAGAACAGGCTGGCCTCGAACTCCCAGAGATCCACCTGCCTCTGCCTCCCGAGTGCTGGGATTAAAGGCATGCGCCACCACTGCCCGGCATCCAAGGAGCTTCTTTATTAACTAGTGGTAATAAAACATTCATAACATTAAGAGGGGAATCCCACATCAGTTAGGCCATCCATAGTTAATGAGAATTTGGAATATTTATGTTAGAGAAGATTTTTTGTTGTTAACCTTTTCTAACAACAAACTTGAATACTATTAAGGAATTCCCATTTTTGGATCAAGCCTGGATTTCTCAGCTGTGGTTACTCAGTGCATGGATATGTGCTTATGAGGAAATGAGTTTATATAAAGTTGTTATTTTATGAGCAAGATGGAGTGACACTGTTATTTGCAAGACTGATACTGCTTAGAATCTCAAATCTTGCTTTTACCCCATTCTTTGCAATTTGCTTGCCACCATTTGTGTTGACTTGGGGCCAGAAGGAAGTGAAGATTGTTAGCGAGGAGTTTTTTTCCCCATTAAAAAGTCTGTTTTCCTTTTTCATTTTTTTTAAAATATTTATTTATTATGTATACAATATTCTGTCTGTATGCCCGCAGGCCAGAAGAGGGCACCAGACCCCATTACAGATGGTTGTGAGCCACCATGTGGTTGCTGGGAATTGAACTCAGGACCTTTGGAAGAGGAGGCAATGCTCTTAACCTCTGAGCCATCTCTCCAGCCCTCCTTTTTCATTTGTTTTGGTTCTTGGCCCATTTTAAGCAAAAACATGGTACTCGTCAGTTGGCTGCTATGCTACATGTGTATTAGAAACAATAACCGGTTCAGCATTAATGTTCAGATGTTATACTTCAGTAATAAGATTTATATTTAATTTCCTTATTGTTACTATGCTTTACTTTTTGTTTATTTGCAGCACAAAAGGGTGTAATGAGTCCAGCACCACAGGAGAAACATGAGAACATGTCAGATATATTAAAAATAACTCAGTTTTTACAGTTTGCTTTGATTCAGTGTCGAAAAGAATTCCAAGATATAAACACTATAAATTTTTATTCTGTTGTTGAAAAGTACGTAAGTGAATTTTTTAAGCGAGGTTTTGGTTCAGGTAAGCGAGAGTTTTTCATGTTTTCATATGATTCACGATTAGATGATAAAAAATTTCTATACTCAGCACCAAGAAATAAATATCATATTGACGACTGCTTACATACCTACATTTATCAGCCAGAAATGTATCAATTACCTATTTTTAAATTAAAAGAGTTATTTGAAGAAAATCGAAAACGTCAACAGTTTAGTCCACTTTCAGATTATGAAGGTCAAGATGAAGAAATTAATGGTTCAAAAATGAAATTTGGAAAACGAAATGGCTCAAGGGGTGAATCTACTGATCCTGCACAGCAGAAGTCGTCTCATTCTCTAGATTATGATAAGGATAGAGTCAAAGAATTGATTAATTTAATTCAGTGTACAAAAAAAAATGTGGGTGGGGACCCAGATACAGAAGATACTAGAAGCAAAAATATCTTGAAGAGGAAGCTTGAGGATCTACCTGAAAATATGAGAAAGTTCGCCAAAACCAGCAATTCATCTGATAATTACCATCTATATGAAGGTAAAATGACACACTACTTTTATGGTAATATCTATTTTATGAACTAGCTAAAGAATAGTTCTGTTCTTTTCCATGTTATAGAGATCCCCAATTTACTAAGCCTAAGAGTCAAATACAGAATGTCCTGGGTACTTTGGTTGGGTTTGGATTTTATGTTCTTTTCTTTTCCCTCTTTTTTGAGACAGGGTCACACTGGAGCACTGGCTGGCCCGGAATGCTCACCATTCTCCCTTCCTCAGCTTCCCAGAGAGTATAGTTACAGATGTGAGCATGCCTGCCTGCCTGCCTGGCTTGTTCAGGATTGGTTGACCCTATCCTTGAAATTACACTCACAGTAGAATAAGTCGCTGCGGTGGCTTTACATTTCTGGCTGTTAGCCACTTTTGCTAGTGCTAACATGTTCCTCTTGCTGTTTGCCTGTGGTCCTTTCCTTTCTCAGCAAGCTAATGTTCTTCAAGTGTGTGTTGTGTTACGGCTCAATTCTTTTTTGTACAATCCAAGAAAACATAAATCATCCTGAATTCAGTTACCATGTCACCACTAAAATGGGTTCTGAATCCAGATGCAAAGAACTGGTTTGCTTTTGTGTATTTGTTTCCTGAATGTCTTGCTATTGCCTTTCCAGGGTGACGGATTCAATAATCATTTGTTTCCTTTGAAGTATTTGGTTGGTCATGAACTTGCTGGTCCAGATAGTTACTATTATGTCATTTCTGATGCTCAAGTAGCTAAAGAGTGAAAGAGTTTGTCTCCTGTTTTTCTAAAAAAAAAAAAATTTTTTTTTTAGAATACAACCATGACCGTTCATTTGTATACATAGCTGCTTTCACACAGATTTATAGAATTGCAGTAAAGACGGCCAGAGCTTAAAATGATGTTTAAAACATTTAATGTCTGATTTTATATAAAACATTTACCCTGGTATGTCATATTTCTTATTTCTTCGTTGTTCAGTTTAGGCTAATATGATAAAGTATACTCAACACTTTTAAGCATAGCTTGAATTTAGCTCCTATACTATATTTTGTTTTTGAAACGAGAGATGTTTGTTGGATTGTTTTGACAGTTGCTTAATGAATGAACCCTTCTGAACTTTAAAATGAAATTTCTTAGATTCATACAGTTACTGTTATGTTTCTTTGTTGTATCATTTTCAGTTGATAGAAATGGGAGATTGTTATCGTAGTGTGTTTAAATATTATAAGTTAAATGCTCATACAGTGTTTTAACTTTTTTATACTGTCTAATTAAGAAGCATGAAATATGAGGTTTGGCCTTTTGTGCTCAGAAACCTTACTTGTTTTCTTTTCAAATGTGTTCGTCTTGACTAGGTTTGGCAGATTAATGTCCTTGGTATATTATATACTTCATGCTCTGAACAAACCAAAAAGCCTTGTTTATGCTAGATAAGCACCCACCCACTGAATTGTATCCCCTGCTCTCTTTATTTTTGAAACAAGATTTCACTAAGTTGCCCAGATTGGCTTTTGGCTCATTGTTTAGACCAGGCTAACCCAGGTATCTTGGCTTCCCAGGTATGTGGCATAGGCATGTGCCACCACATCTGGAACCCTTTTATTCTCGAATTATTCATTGTGGTAAAACAACATTTCACCAGCCGTACAGCTGTTTGGACCATACTGATAGGAATATTGCAGTCATTGCAAAAAGTTGTATTTGATGGTGCTGTTGTCTGGTATAACTTTGTAGGATTTTCTTACTTGAATTTGGTGTCTCTTTACTTTCAGTGTCTATGTCTTCTCGTATCTCTTGTCTCCTTCTTGGTTTTTAAATTACTCAATTCATTTCAGTAGCCTCTATTGGTTTGTTAAGATTAGTTTCTTCTGTATTTGACTTTTGAAGACTGTTTTCAGACAAACAAGGATCTGGCCATGCTATTGTTCTTTTATGTGCTCTTCAATTTTTCAGAAACAGTTATTGTAAAGTACACACATACTTGTAAAATCTAAGCCTAAAATATTTTAGTTTCTACCCGTAAATGCCTTAAATGATTTTTAAGTTATATTTTATTTTTAAAAGTTTGTTTTTTCATTCTGTCATAAATGAGTATACTGGCTTTTAAAATACAAGAGATGGCTTTTCTTTCTTTTTCTTAGAGTCTCCACAGTCCATTGGCTTACTTGGACACGATCCTAACTTGAGACTGCAACAGGAAGAGGCATGTAACATTGGAGATGCCCATAAGCTTTATAATTGGTTATCAGAAGCATTAGCAAATGAACGACACTCAGATGCAAGGCACTCAGATGCATTCCTGACAGATACAGTCAACAAGGCCTTAGGACTGAGTAGCAGTGGTGCCTGTGAAGAGCTAAGACAAAAGTGTGACTACGAGCTGAATCCTCCTTTAGATAAGAAAGACTGTGAGCAGCCTGCTTGTACAAAAGTTGAAAATGTTCATTTTAAGGGTGCTCAGAGCCCACTGCTAGAAGTTGATGCAGCGTCTGTAAAGTACCCTACTCTTGCTTCTACCAGTGAGGTAGGCATTGACTATAAGCTACATTTGACAGACAGAAACATGACTTTCTGGTTATCTGTTTGCTTTTGTGTATGGTGAAGAAAGAATGTAGGGTGCACTTGAGGGAGTGACCTTCCTTTCAGAAAGAAATAAGACATACTCCTGAGTAATAGTGTTTGTCCTGGAGGGTGATTCTAAGCTTTTATTGTTGAAAAAAGATAAATACTGAAGTAATTGTTTTCGATATGCTTGTGTGCTTTATAAATAATGTAAAGTTTGTCAGTATGGTAAAACTTGGCATAGTAGGAGTTAATTTCATATTGTTTCATGAGTCCTTTAAACAGTGGCTGTTCTCTGCTGTAACCGAATCAAAATGAGGCAGATGAAGCAGCTGAACTTAGTAACGTGGGGAGCAAATACATATGAGTGGAGTTCTCAGATTTGCTTACTGTGGAATCCGGTTTGTTTATGTATGGTTTGTCCTTAGTAGAGAGTGACTTCTGCATTAGTCCATACTTTCCTAAAAGAGACCTAATCCTTGAGGGTAATACCAAGACGGTACAATAGTTTTAAGGGTTTATAGCTTACTTATTCTGCCTTTGAATAAAAGCTGTATGCATGCCTCAGACTTTATGTAGTTTTGAGATACTTATTTCAGGGAGAAGATGGGGGTAGGGAGGCTTATGTAGTAGGCACTGAGATATTAACCTGTGTTGTTAATGTTTTTGAATACATTTAACAAGAGTATGGGCTTCTTCCTGTTTTTATAACTTAAATTCTATTTCTATTCATTTAAATATTACCTTTTGGTATTGTTAAATTACAATGACAGAGTTGAATTATGGCCTATAAAATTTAAAACAAAAGTTTACCAGTCACTTCTTTAAATCAATACCGGTTTTGTGTGTGTGGTAATGTATTATGTGTTTTTAAAGATACATTTTATTTCATGTGGTTGTTTTGCCTGCATGTTTGTAAATGCACCACATACATCTTTGGTGTAGTAGCGGTGTCAGATCTCTTGAAAGGAGTGGAGTTAAGATGGTTGTGAGCTGCTGTGTGGGGTTTCAGGAATTGAACCCTGGTTCTCTGTAAGAGCAGTTGATATTCTTTATTGCTGAATGTTCATCATATCGTCTTATAATTTTTTGTTTGTTTACTCTGAGTACACGTGAAGGTCAGAGGATAACTTTTGAAAGTTTGTTCTCTTTCCATCGTGTGGCTCCTGAAGAGAGCCTCAGGTCATCAGGGCTGATGGCAAGTGCCTTTCCCCACTGAGCCATCTTGCCAGGCCCCAGATAACCTTTAAGGACACTATATATTGTTTATTTCATTTATTTATTGGGGGTAGGTGTGTTTGCTTATGATAGGGTTTCACTCTGAACCTGTGGCTGGCCTGTAACTAACTGTATAAACCTGGTCGAACCTTTTGATCTTCCTGCCTCTGCCTTCCAAACCTAATTATAAGCAAGCACTACCATTCCTGGCCTTGCCAAAGTGTATTTTAAATTAAAATCTAGAGTATTACAACTTTATAATGTTGGTTTTATTTATTTGTAATGCTCGGACTGAAGTTGTGCATTTGTGGTGAGGAAGTAGTATAGTCTTGACATTAAAAGGAAAGCTATTAAATGTATGTACTCTTTTTTTAGGATCCTAATTTAATTAATGTCAGTAATTTTGAGGAGTGCAGTCTGTGTCCCACTGTTTCCGTTGAGCATGGATTCCTTAGACAACATTCTAAGTCACATGATGAAGAAGAGACAGAAATACATTGGAAATTGATTCCAATTACAGGTAAGGATTAGTATACTTGGTCATAGGTTTGCTTCTTTTTACTTAGGGACCAGTTTCCTGGAGAGTTTCATCTCTTTTAGATTCCCGTCTTGGTTCACAAGGTAATTATCTTATGTGGCTTTGCCACGAGTCTTTATTTTTAGCAATATATTATTTATCACTATTACGTTTATTTATTTATTCATTCATTCATGGTTTTTCAAGACAGTTTTTCCTCTGTATAGCTTTGGAGCCTGTCGTGGAACTTGGTTTGTAGCCCAGGCTGGCCTAGAACTCAAAGACATCCACCTGCCTCTGCCTCCTGAGTGCTGGGATTAAAGGCGTGTGCTGCCACCACTCGGCTACTATTACAATTCTTGATTGACATCAGCAAGTATCTTCAAAAGGGCTTATTAATATAGGGATTTAGGGCATAGTTACTTTTTGTGGAGTTTTAACATTCATATTATCAATTGAAAACTTGATAGAAACTGAACTTGGAAATAGGTGTTGGAGTGAAATGATGCTCTTTGGGTAGCCAGTAATTTTTAACTCACTAATCTAAACTTCACTACAAAGCTGTCTGTCATATAGCAAATAGTCATGTTGATCCTCATCTGTATGAAGGAAATTTGATTTCCTAATGGTTTGTTCTAGAGCACAGCCTGAAATGACCAATGCAAATAGCTCATGGAAACTTATTGAACCACTGGCATTTGATGGTTGTTGAAAGATTGTCATTTGTAATATTCCTTCTTGTCCATGAACACAGTGCATGCTCTTAATATTCAAGTTTTTATTCGTCTTTGTTATCTAAGTATGTTTGGAATTGTTTTCTGGGCACATCTTTTCCATTCCTATACCTTTATTTAGACTTTGGAAAGAAATTGAAGAAAGAATGACTTTTGCTGAAATGTAGACTGGCTTGTAACCTATAATCTATGAGACCTGTAGGGATTCTGAGAAGAATTTCTAAAATTGAGTGTCCATTGGCTTCTGCACTGTTCTATGCTTCCTACCTTACCGGAGGAGGCAGGAGGCCCTAGACCTGATGATGGAGAGAGAACTGATAACTTTTATGAAATGGAGACACAGTGAAACTTTGAAATAAAATAGAAAAGTAGTTTGTAAGTGATGGTTATCCCAGCCTTTCTTCATTTAAGAACCTTTATAATTGCTGTTGAGTCATTTAAAGAAATAATATAGGTACTGCTTTTTTCCATTACCTGAATGGAAAGGGAAATGGGAAGCTTCCCATTTCCAGATGACCTTTTAAGAATATTTAGGCAAAAGAAAGGACTATCCCTTTGTTAGCATTTGTGGTTGTCTGAAAGGTACCTAATAGGTGTCACTGGTATCTGAAGAGAGTCTGCAAATCTAATGGATGCTTTCCTCAGGAGGGAATGCAAGAAGCCCAGAAGACCAGCATGGGAAACATGGTGAGAAACAGACACCAGGTGAGAAGGCTCACTTTGCTTTTCTGCCCAATGTGCCCTCTTCAGAATTGCTACTTGGATTCTGGTTCTTCATCAGTAGGGAATGGATTTACTTTGTGCTCCATAGAGAGAAGTTTAGACAATATCTTTTTGTTTAATTATCATTTTAAAATTTAATTGTATCAGATACTCTTGTTAACAAATGTGATGTGTTCTGATCAGGTGATAAAGGAATATGAAAATGTTTTCTTAGCGCATTTCTTCAGATATTCTATAAGAACCAATCTTTAGTTTTAAAATGCAACAAGATAACCACTTTTTTCTTTCTTTCCTTCTTTCTGCTTTTCCCTTTTTCAAAACAAACTATCTCTGTAGTTTTAGAGCATGTCCTGGAACTAATTCTTTAGTCCAGGCTGACCTCAGATTTACAGAGATCCACCTGCCTCTGCTTCCCAAGTGCTGGGATTAAAGGTGTGTGCCACCACCGCCTGGCCATTTTTTTTTCATACTCTGATCATAATTTTTCTTCTTTTTGTGGCCAAACTTTTTGAATATAAAACTAACTTCTCAGATAGCTTAAGGGATTGAAAACTGTTTCCAGAAACAAAAGTCCTACTGATTATCTAATTGCAGTAGATACACAGGAGAAGGGTCTCCTTTGTCTGACTGAGCTCAGTCAGACCCAGTTTCTTTGCACGACATTGTTGGCATTATTTTCTTGCCTGAGCCTGATAGTGACCTTTTAAATGTTTCCAATTGTTTTAATACCTTACTACTGGGGTGTGGTCGGTCTCTCAGCGGCTATTGGCTGAAGGAGCAGAAGGAGCTCCTGCAACACCTTACTCTTAAAAATCTTGTGTGTCTTTTTGTTATTTTAATTTAGGAGGAAAGTATTCGTGGGGAAATCTGAAGGTGTCTTAATTTAGAAGGAAAGCTAACTGGCTTTCTTAGTAAATTATTAACCCTTCTCAGGAAGATGTTTATCTCCTAGGAAAGATGATTTATTTTTAAAAATACATGATGTAAGAAAGTATGCAAGTTGTAGTATACAGCTCAGTAATATCCACATAAATATAACTTTGTGACTACTACCTAAGTCAAGATGGAGAGCAGTTCTGGCACCCTAGCTTTTCGTCTCCATTCTCTCCATTCACAGTAGGTGGCCACTACTCTCACTTTCTTTACAATATGTTTAATTTTTTTCCTCCATAAATTGAACCCACTCTTGCCTGTTTGGCACTTTCATTTCAACTCTATGTCAAGGTTTCATCTATGTCGTGTACTGCAAGTAAATCTTCCTAGGAAAAATAGTTATCTTGTTTGAACTTCATAATCTTCATTCTCTTCCTTCAGATACTGTATTCATATTTTATAATTGAAAGTTAGATCTAAATGACATTACCATCTGAGAAATAATTCATTTTCTTCACATGTTAAAAGTCAAATGACTGGTACTTTGTGTCAACAATCAGTAAAATAAACACCTATTATAGGTAATGACATCTGTCTATTAAATCCTTTATTGATAAAGATGTGTTTTTAAAGTTTTGATCTTAAAATCATATGGAGTAATTTGTAAAATAAAATTAGATTATGTTCACAATTTTTGGAAGAAGTTTATTTGGCTTTTAAGTGTCATGTGTGGGTGTATATATAGGGAATAGGAGTACATTCAAGTGTGTGAATAAGTGGAGGTCAGAGGAGAACATTGATTTCTTCCTCTATTGTGGGTTTGTTTGCCTTACTGCTTTGAGGGTTGGTCTTCACCGAAACAGAAGTCTAAGCCTGCCTTTTCAAAAAGTTAGGCTGGTTTTTTTTTTTATTATTATTATTTTAAACTTTATTTTATGTGAATTGGTGTGAGGGTATCAGATCCCCTGGAACTGGGTTACAGACAGTTGTAAACTACACGTGTGGGTGCTGGAGATTGAACCCAGGTCCTCTGGAGGCACAGGCAGCGTCCTTAACCTCTGAGCCATCTCCCTAGTCCCAAAGTTAGGCTGTTTTGCCATCAGGCTCCTGAGGTCCACCTTTCTCCACCCTATAAAGTTACAGGCATGTGCATCCATGCATGACTTTACATATGTTCTAGATATTTGAACCCTGGTCCTAATGTTGCCTAGCAAGTGCTTTTACCCACTGACAGTCTCTAAAAAAAAATTTTTTTTTGAGACGGAGGTTTTCTTGTTTAGCCCAGGCTATCCTATAAAGTTGTTTAAAATCCATGTCCTGATTTTTTTTTTTTTTTTTTACCCCAGTGGTGCGGTGGCTCAAACTTGGCTCTTATTTCAAACATCTGTTAAAAGACACCTATATTGTCAGAAAATAAATGTATTAAAGATAACTGATATTTTAAAAACTTTATTATTTTAATAAAAATAATTCCTCTCAATTTTTCTAGTACTCAGGAGGCTGAGGCAGGAAGATTTATGAGTTCCAGGCCACCATGAGCCTGTCTCATAAAAACAAAAGAATTGGTGGGGTTAAAAGAGAGAAAAAAAGTATTAAGTGTGTTTACTTTGCTCTCAATAGGTTAATATTACCAATTTATTATATGCCCTTCTATATATTTTATATTATTTTAAATACTTTTTAATGGTGTTATTTTAAATATAGAACATTCAGTATTCCTGAGTCTTACAGGACTTGAACTTTATAATACTAATTTCATATAGTTTTAATTGTTGACAAATTAATTGGGTGTTTTGCTTTTTGTTTTGTTTTGACCTTTATGCCTGTTGTTCTTGCTATATTAGTGTCTTTACAGTAATTGAATGTAGTGGTCATGACATTGAAAACTGTGAGTTTGGGGAAAATAAAAATGGAATTTTGTGTAAGAAGAATGCAGCTACATCTGAGCATAAACTTGTAAAATCATTGTAGCATTAGAGGTTTGAAAATTTAGGGTTTTCTGATTTAGAATCACCATTTTGGATACTACAGTGGTGATGTGTTAGGGAATGGTGTTGATAAAAGACTTAAGGAAAAATTGTAATTTTTCCAGGTCTTAAAATTGTGTGATAGCTTTTTTGACAAGGATTTTGACTTTATCTCTAAAATATATTATTGTAAATTAAAGTTCTATATATTTTCATCATATTTAAAAATATACTTCTTTGAAAAGTAGTTTTAAAAATTTAATCATGTTTGAATTTAAGATTTGTGAGGAAAACAATAGTATAAACTAATAGATTTGAGCCAGTTCTTACAAGCCAAAGGTTGTAGTCCTGTTAGCACTGGATTGCACAAAGATTTTGTAATCCAAAATTTGTAGTTTTGGATTACAGGAATAAAGAAATAAAAAAAATTGCTTATTTCTTCTTGGAATTATTTACAAATTAAATGAAAATAGTAGGAGAACATTCTAAAAGGTACTACTTTTATAGCTATGAAATAATTCAATTCTTCTGTTTTTTTAAGTCTTTTTTTCCCCTGACAAAATAAATCTGTTATGCTGTAGGCAATCCATTAACTAAGCTATATGTGAAAGCCAGCCTAAAAATGATGGAACTTTTTAAGATCTTAAATGCTATAATATTTCTGTTGAGCTTTCTAGTTGTCTTATATTCCATTCTTCAACTAATGTAGTATGATAATTATTGGTCATCTGTTAGCATCAGATGTACAGAATGGCACGAAAGCGACTTAACGTGTTTATGCTAAAAAGGCAATTTCTTAAAAATCTTTTTCCAGAGAGACACTTTTTGAACTTGTAAAGAAAGAAACTGTTCAGCATTGCTGCTCTGCTTACTGAAATCAAATCCAAAGCCTAGCCTATAAGTAGAGCAGATAGGGTTCACAGTTTTTTGATGTTTTGAATTTACTTTGCAATGTATATTTTTAAATGTGTACCTGAGCTGATTGTTCTTAAAAATGAGTTTTTTGTTTTTTTAATGTTACCCATTTGGATTGCGCTTTTAATAATAAACTCTTCTTGTATAGGAATAAAATCGCCAGGAGAACCACTGGTGTGTCTGCCACCACTGGAGGCTTTTCCTCACGACCCTCGGGTAATAAGTAGAGAAAGAAGTGCTGATTACCAGTTTCCACCCTCTCCGTTTACAGACACTGTAAAGGGCACCACTGAGGAGGACCTGGTGTCAGCTCAGGTGGTGACAGTGGAAGAGCAGTGTGTGCCAGCAGCAGAGCCTCCTGCAGTGAGTGAGACTACAGAGAACACAGTGTTAGGAGAGTTCCATCTCTTTTCTAGAAAGATTGAAGAGATTTTGAAGCAAAAGAATGTTTCATATGTTAGTACAATTTCCACACCTATCTTTTCAGCACAAGAGAAGATGAATCGTCTTTCTGAGTTCATATATTCTAAGACTTCAAAAGCTGGTGTACAGGAATTTGTAGATGGTTTGCATGAAAAACTAAATACTATTATTATTAAAGCATCAGCTAAGGGTGGGAATTTGCCACCAGTAAGCCCTAATCATTCTCATACAACAGCATTGAATTCTCTGGGAAGGCATATTGTATCAATTTCTTCAAGTGACTTCAACAGTAAAGACCTTTTTCAGCCATTGTGTCCTGAGCCTTTAAAAGATATCAGTTCTAATGAACAGTATTCTTCGTCAATTGAAGTAGAAATGAATCAGTTACACCCCTGCAAGGAGTTAATTTTGACTTCTGATCACACTGTACCTGGTGATACTGCCCTGGAACCAGTAGAAAAAGAAATCACAAAATCAACTGGCGATATAAACATTTCTGCACAGCCTGCTCTTTCAAATTTTATAAGCCAGTTAGAACCCGAAGTATTTAATAGTTTGGTTAAAATAATGAAAGATGTCCAGAAAAATACTGTGAAATTTTACATTCATGAAGAAGAGGAGAGTGTGCTTTGCAAAGAAATAAAGGTAAATATTGAGAAGGTAATTATAGTGCTATATAAACTCAGTGATCTGAACTCTCTAAAATTGAATCTTAAAGGTGGCCATATTTTATTTTCTGAATTTAGTAATTAAGAACTGAATAGAATAGTGCATTGGGAACCTATGATCCCAACATTGTAGATGTCAGAATCTTTTCTGTTGAATTTTTAAGATTGTATGTATATAAGGGTCTGGGGCTGCAGCTCAGTTAACAAGTGTTTGACCTCCCACTATCATGGGGTAGGAAGAAGCCTCTGGTCATAACTGTAGATTTACTTGATTCTGAGATTAGATTTCCAAACAAAAAGCAGGTTTTTAGAATTTTTGGAGGGTATTAAGTACATGTATGGAGGGTCTAAGTCTAGGGCAGCTTGTGAGAATCACTACTCATTCAGAGACTTGGCAGCAAGTACTTTTTCCCGCTGAGCTAGCTTGCTGGCCTTTGATTTGGAGGTTTTATATAAGGCTTGCTTAATTATTTTTTTAATGAATGAGAAAAATGCAAAGTGTTATTGTAGGTTGTGCTGTTCCTCTCATGTGGAGTTTTATCGATCAGATGGAAACAAATGTCCAGAAATTGCATAGTGACACATTCGTTTGTCATACCCTGACCATGTCACAACTTTTAATGATCAGAAAGACTCCCATAGCTATAGAATACCATTTAAGGTATTTGATCTTGGAGTTTTAAAGTAACTGCATGTTCCATTTATGTAATTTATTTATTGTGACTGGAGTTTCAGTCTGTTTTGTTAGAGGCAGCAGAGGGACTTAGAAAACTAAATAGTTCAAGAAACTCAGTATCAATTAACAAATGCTTAATCTGTTTATCTTATGTTAGCTTGTTTAATGTGATATCCCAAGTAATAGGTGAAGAGCGTTGAAATGAAAAAGGATGCATATCACTGTTGTACTTTCTGTGTTTTCGTAGGAAGATGAAGAGAGACTTGGTTGCATCTTTGTTCTCTGTAATTGAACATAGAGCTTAACTTTTTCTCAACTCTAGAAACACATTTCTAACACAGAACTTTGGACATAGCTGCATGTTGGTGTAATACTAAGCAAGAGAGTTTAAGCTGAACACAGTGTAATCCCTTTTTAAAAATGGATTGTTCAACATCCATGTGACATTTGTATTGAAGAGATAGGAAATACAATTCTTTATGAATGGTGTTTTGAATTATAGCTTAAGTTATTATCATTATTTACGTAGAGTAAGAAATTATCTCTTTCAAATCTTGTAGAAAATTAGGTTAGAACATTATTTAAAAAAAATTATTTAACTTTTATTTGTGTCCATTGCTTTGAAGATGTCAGATCCCCTGGAACTGGAGTTACAGACAGTTGTGAGCTGTCCTGTGGCAAACAAAAAACTTAAACTTCTAAATATTTCTGGAATCAAAGTGTTTTGTTACTATATTAGTTAAGCAGTAGTATCCAGAGTAAGTTGAAGTTTAAATTGAAAATGTACAAAGAATACAGTTGCCATTAGTCCTGTTGGATAAGTTACCTTTTCATTAATAAACTAAAAGGTAGTTTGAGACCTTCCTAAAAACTGCAGAGTTGAAGGCAAAATCATTGTGGAAAATGCTTCCCTCCATTTAAGTTATACAAAAATGTTGTCTTGACAACTGGGTAGTCTACTTGTCAATCAAGCAGAGTTTTGATTATGCTATGAGCATCTTTGTTAATGTGGAAAAAATTCATCTCCTCTGTCTTTGGAATGGAGAATGTCACCTCAGGATCTTGCAGTTCACTTCAGGGCTCAGGGTTCGGCCAGCAAGCACAGTGCAAGGGAGCTCTTAAGAGCATACTGCTGTGCCCTCTGAAAGGTGGTGCTGCGTTACCAACACAGAAGACATGCTTGATGACTGAAGCTGCTGTGTTTGAAGATGGAAACTTGGCAGAAAAGGGCTAAATTAGTAATATCATTAGTAAACATTTCTGCTCAGATGATGGCCCATGAGTTCTTTTTGAGTTGTTTTGGATTAAACGTCATTGGTCATGGCCATATTCTGAAGGGAAGTATTTCTGGTGATACCATCACAGATCACTGAGAGCTGGGTCCTGGGTTTACCATGATGGAGGTAAGTGGGCCAAGGGTCTGGACTAATCTATTGTTGTAACAGCAGTTCAGCTTTTGTATGCTATCTTTAAACTCTTAAGAGTAGATGTGATGAGCTCTCCAGTCTTCTAAAGTCAAAAAAGTTCAGTGTCCTAGGTAAAGCTTATCAGTTTATGTTTTATTTGCTAAATAAATGTTGGAAATTGATGTTTGCTAAAAAAAGTTTGTTAATGTTGATTTAGTTGTTTTTCTTTGACAGGAGTATCTTACCAAATTAGGCAATACAGAATGTCATCCAGATCAGTTTTTGGAAAGAAGGTCAACCTTAGATAAACTATTGATTATTATTCAAAATGAAGACATTGCAGATTTCATTCACAAGGTAGACTATTAAGACCAGTTTACTAATTTACTTTCTAAAACTACTACCTCATTGTTAAATCTTATTCTAAGAACAAAACTTTTTCTTAAAAATTTTTTCCCATAAAATTAAGAAAATGCTTATTAAGTACTTGTCCAGGAGCCAGCTTGTGAGAATTGTATATATGAAGGTGTTGTGTGCTATGAATTTTTCCCGTCATTCAGATTAGTTAAAAGTAATAGATAGTTCTTGAATGTAGAGGTGAGGAGGGGGTGTTGTGCTAACTCTTCATATATAGACAAACTTTTTTTTTTTTGCCATGAGTCCCCATTGACCTTGGATGTGGAGGTATTTCCCTGCTCTTAGGAGCCTGCCTCAAATCAGCCTTTCATTACTATTGTAGCACCACAGGTTCTCCTTTTTTTGTTTGCTTTTGTTTTTGTTTTTGCTTTTGTTTGTTTGCTTGTGAGCTGATATCCTTTGTAGCCTAGACTACTTCAAACTGTGCAGGGCAGTCTGGCTTCTTAATTAGTCCTCCTCATCTCAGGTAGGATGACAAGTATCACCACACCTGGCTCCTAGTTTTAAATTCTGGCTGTTTATGGATTTAGAAATATATTAGCATTTTGTCCAGTTTTTGTTTTTAGCCTAATGTAAATTCCTTTCCCTTAGTGTTACGTTCATATATGTTGGTTTATACTACTGGGAAGTAGTACTTAAAATACTAATTTTGTCACTTTCCAGAGGCAATGATGAGTAATAGTGTATTTTTTTTAATTTTATTATTCTTAGGTTATTTGATACTTATATATATATATTGGTTAGTTCATTTATCCATCCTATTTCTGTTTTTTGGTATTTAACAGGTACCTGGCTTGGTGACTTTAAAGAAGCTCCCATGTGTTAGTTTTGCTGGTGTTGACAGCCTGGATGATGTTAAAAACCACACATACAATGAGTTATTTGTGTCTGGTGGCTTTATTGTATCTGATGAATCAATCTTAAATCCAGAGGTTGTCACAATTGGTAAGAATGAGGATGTTATTTTCAGTGTGTTTTTTCTGGGTTGTGGTTGCCCTAGGTTTTCAGGAAAAATTTAAACTAAGGGATTAAAAAGTGCATTGTTATTGTGCCAAACAGCTAACAGGCTTATTTCTATCTTTTCCTGAGTTTTTGCCACCTCCATCATCTTCTCCATTCTGTTTTTATATATACTTTTATGTAAATCTGGTCTACACTGCCTGCTGTGGCACTTAGATTATTCTAGTGGTGGTGCTGTTATTGGATATTTGTTTTGTTTGTAGGTGTTTTCAGAGTTTTTTTTTAAATATTTATTTATTTATTATGTATGCAATATTCTGTCTGTGTGTATGTCTGCAGGCCAGAAGAGGGCACCAGACCTCATTACAGATGGCTGTGAGCCACCATGTGGTTGCTGGGAATTGAACTCAGGACCTTTGGAAGAGCAGGCAATGCTCTTAACCACTGAGCCATCTCTCCAGCCCCCTGTTTTCAGAGTTTTAATGCTGTAAGGAGTTCCCTTTCCCTTCGAGCAAGATGATGAATATGTGGTGCATAGGGGGAAAAATAGACCTGTGTAAATACGAACAAGCACTTCTTCCAAAATCTCAGCATGGCAGACACTGTTTATTCCTGACTTTAAAATCTGAATTTCATTGTCTTTAACAGAGAGCCTTAAAATTTTTTTGACATTCCTTGAAGAACTTAGTACTCCAGAAGGGAAATGGCAATGGAAAATCCACTGTAAATTTCAAAAGAAACTGAAGGAACTGGGCAGGTAAGATACAGAAAATATTGAATTTTTTGTTTGTTTTTGAGACTGGATTTCTCTATAGCTTTGGAGCCTGTCCTTGAACTATCTCTTGTAGACTAGGCTGGCCTCGAACTCACAGAGATCCAGTTCCACCTGCCTCTCTCTTGCCTACTGAGTGCTTGGATTAAAGGTGTGCACCACCATCACCCAGCTATGAATAATTGTTGATTTTTAACAGTGCTCACAAAACTTTTCCTTTTTCTGGGTTTGTGGATTATGAAAGTTTTCATGTATGTTAACAGACAGTAAGTGGGTATAAATACTGAGTTATTCTATTTTTGAGTAAGAAGTGATATTCTTGTTGACATAAAGAATTTGGTTAAGTTCTCATAGTATGATAGTTAGAATTGACTTAATTTGCATGTGGATCTGCATGATCACAAGGATCAGAAATCTCATTTTTTTGTGATGCTAGATTTGAAGCACATGGTGTGAGCTATATTTCAAGCCTTTAAAAATATATTAATTTACTCTTTGATAATATCATACACATATACAATGTATTTTTGGTTCTATCTATTCCTTAACCAACTCTTCCCAGGCCTCTCTACATACCATGCCCTCCCAAGTTCATGTTCTCTTTTTTCCTTTATAACCCACTGAATCCAATTACTGTTTGCCCATATACTACTTCATTAGGCTGCCCATCAAAGCATAAGCATATCATATCAGGGCCCACTTTTAATTGAAGAAAAATGACACTTTGTTGTTACCAGACTCCTGTCAGCTGCCAATAGGAATGGGCCTCATAAGTATCGTTCCTACTCATGCTGGAATTTTGGCCGGTTTGTTTTTGTTCAAGTCTTTGGCAGGCAACCAGCTATTGTGCATTCTTGTGTGCAGCCGCCCTGTTAAAAGACCAAAAGGCAGTTTTCAGCAGCACTCCACAACACCTGGCTCTTAGGATATTTCTGCTCCCTGTTTTACATAGTTCTCCAAGCCTTAGGGAGAAAAGTTGTGATATAGATGACATATTTAAAGCCATTTAAAAAACTGATCTATATTTGCAGTGTAAATCAAACCCTGTCCTAAGTAAGTTAGTTCGGTAACTAATCGAATTGCCAAAGTTGGTCTCTGCCTGACAAGGCTCAGTTAGAAACTGGTTTATAATGTGTGTTTGTGTGGTTCTTGCATGTGGGGGTGTTACTCCCTTGGAGGACACTTAGTCTGGTAAGTTTGAGATGCTGTAACTTTTTTTTTTTTTTTTTTTAATTCTTTTTGGTTTTTTCCAAGACAGGGTTTCTCTGTGTATCTCTGGCTGTCCTGTAACTAGCTCTTGTAGACCAGGCTGGCCTCGACCTCAGAGATCCTCCTACCACTTCCTTCTGAGTGCTGGGATTGAAGGCTTGCGCCACCACCACCCAGCTGAGATGCTGTATCTTGTTAGTGTTCACAGAACTTTCTAATAAATAATTAATTGCACTTTAGAGAATTTTTTTTTAAAGATTTATTTATTATGTATACAACATTCCTTCCATGTATGTTTGTATGCCAGAAGAGGGCACCAGATCTCATTACAGATGGTTGTGAGCCACGATGTGGTTGCTGGGAATTGAACTCAGGACCTTTGGAGGAGCAGGCAATGCTCTTAACCACTGAGCCATCTCTCCAGCCCCCACGTTAGAGAATTTTTATCAGCTAGAATTTCCTAAGTATAAGTCATAGAATTTTGTATGTGCACTCACCTGTGCATGCAGAGGCCAGGGCAGGATGTCATTTGTTTTCTTTCTCTCCATCTTAATCACCTTATAACAGGGTCTCTCCATGAACTTTGGTTCAGCTCACATATCAACTACACTTTGCCAGGGAGCTCTCATGAACTGCCAGTCTGTTCCCCATGCTGGAATTGTAGACACATCCAGCTGTGTGGGTTCTGAATCAGATCCTCATGTTTGCAGAGCAAGTGCTCTTAATCTCTGAGCCATTCTTTTCAGTCCCCAATTACTTTTTTGTAAGTTACTTTTTACCCTCTGAGACAGACCTCTTGTTGTATATAACTCCAGCTAGCCTGCTATTTATTCACTTAGTAGACCAGGCTGCCCTTAAACTCATGGGCAGTCCTTCTACCTCTGCCTCCAGAGTACTGGAATTATAAGTATACACCACCAAAACTAGTTCTAGATCGCAGATCTTTTGATTGCTGTAACACCTATTGACATCGAAAATTCAGGGTAAAATAATTTCAATGTTTGGCTGTGTATCATAGTTAAAATACTTCTATCTTTTGGAGACAGACTCTTGCTTTATAATCCAGAACGGCTTCAAACTCAAAAATCTTCCTTCCTCAGCCTCTTTGAATGCAGGAATTTAAAAAGTTGTAACACACACCTTGCTAGTACTTAGCTTTTTTAGACTTATTCATTTTGACAACCTATGAAATAAGCAAAGGGCAAGTTCATATATAGTGTAGACATAACACGCCCAAAGGTATATCTCCAGTTCTTACCTTAAAGTATTATAAAAAGCTTAAAAGCGGGGCTGGAGAGATAGCTCAGCAGTTAAGAGCATTGCCTGCTCTTCCAAAGGTCCTGAGTTCAATTCCCAGCAACCACATCGTGGCTCACAACCATCTGTAATGGGGTCTGGTGCCCTCCTCTGGCCTGCAGGCAGACACACAGAATATTGTATACATAATAAATAAATATTTTAAAAAAAACTTAAAAGCTACATGTTAGGAAGAATTATACTCTTATTTGTTCATGAGACAATGTAGCCTAGGCTGTCCACCTCCTGAAGTGCTGCAATTATAGATGTATGCCACTATGCCCAACATTTTTGTTCTTAGATGGCCTTAAAGTTTAACATTAATAAAGTAATAATACTTTAGTAAATAGGATGACTGATGGTTCAGGTTTTAGCCTAACTGAATTACAAGATTGTCCTCAAAAAGCCGGGCGGTGGTGGCGCACACCTTTAATTCCAGCACTTAGGAGGCAGGCGGATCTCTGGGAGTTCGAGACCAGCCTGGTCTACAAGAGCTAGTTCCAGAACAGGCTCCAAAGCTACAGAGAAACCCTGTCTCGAAAAAGAAAAAAAAAAAAAAAAGATTGTCCTCAAAAAACATGCTCGTCAGATGTACAGTTCCCATTTTCCTTCCCTCTTAACTGGCATTCTTACATCAAACAATAAGCTCAACAACTTGTGGAGGTTATTTATTAGCCTCCTCAGTTGAGAAGTGCTTTCAGTTAACTGAAACAAATTTCTATAGTGAATTTTAAAATGCCAATATCTAGGTACTGAACTCTGCTTAATCTCACAGATTGAATACTAAAGCTCTGAGTCTGCTGTCTCTTCTAAATGTGTATCAGAAGAAACATCTGGTTGAGATTTTGTCCTATCACAATTGTGACTCGCAAACGCGAAATGCTCCGGAAATGGACTGCCTTATCAGGCTTCAGGCTCAGAACATACAGCAGCGACACATAGTCTTTCTAACAGGTAGGAACATGCTCTTGCTGATACGGCTGGAGTGGATGTTAATATAATTCTGAATATATCAGTTTTTATACATTTTCTCTCTTTAATTTAGAGAAGACTGTCAACATGGTTTCCAGTTATACAGATAATGGAATTGTAGTTGCAACTGCTGAAGACTTTATGCAAAACTTTAAAAGTCTTGTGGGATATCACAGCTCAGTCACAGAAGAAAATCTTCCGCTGCTTGGTGCCAATGAGAACCTTGAGTCACAGTCAGGTAACTTTTTAGTAGTTTTCATTTTCTTTAGGTGAGACAGAATGAGGAATGGTTTTGTTTATCCCATAGTTAAATGTTTATTGAAACCATTTACTCCAGTCAATAGTAGACATCACTGTAGGACTTAGTATATATAAGATCTGCTCATTTATTTATACTGTAGTCAGTACAAGTGTTAGTATAGGCTATGCATTCATTCGTCTATTCTGTGGACGGTACATATTTAGAGGTTTATTTTTCCCTCTGAGGGAGTAAAAGCTTTATTGCCTTCTCTTTGCTGTCAGTTTTTGTATTTCTGAAGGCAGGTAGAGGGATTATTGGGCTACAAAAGGTCTTCAGATATATGTGCTAGTTTAATTACAAGGTAGTGAGGGTATCTTACCTTGAATCTTCTGTGAGCTGGCCTCTGCTTGGTTCCAGACGCTAAATAAAAGCTGTTCTTAAATTGTTTTTTGTGAAAAGCAGAGATGACTTGAGCATTCAGTAGAGATAAGCAGTTAGTAATTCAGTGAAGCTACATGTCAGAAGTTTTATTTTATATTTGTCTTATGAAATACTGAATTACCGTATAACTTTAGATGCTGTTTTGACATTAAACCCTTTGGAGCTGGGAGTTGGGATTTCCCAACATTAAACGTGAACACATTTCGAGAAGCTTTTAGCATCGGATTATCTGGACACTCACACCTAATGTGAGTGTTGTGACTAAGTGAACTTGTGGCAGAAGACCAAGCTTTAAGGGATTGTGGACTTTGCAGATCCTGACGCACTATGTTGTGTGAGTAGTGTATAATTTTACAAACTAAACAAACTGTGTATTTCAATAGAGGAGGGCTTTTTGTGTTTTAAATGTAGCTCTTTTAGAAAACGGTGAAAAGGATGAAGAGGATATGTCTCTGGATTCAGGGGACGAAATCTCACACATAGAAGTATTCAGCAGTTTTCATTCAGAAATATTGGCGAGAGAGACCAAAGGATCAAGTGGAACAGATCAAAAAAACAATAATCAAATTGAATTGCAGTCATCTCTTGACGTGCAAAACAGTTTATTAGAAGATAAAACTTCCCATATTGATTGTGAAGAGAGAGCTCCTATTGATAGAGTATGCTCTGAAGGAGAAAACAGCAATTCAGCAGAACAAGATTCATATAGCAACGTTCAGGCTTATCAAAGTCAATTAGAAATGTCCCGCCAGTTTAGTCACTTTAATGTTCTCACTCATCAGACGTTTCTGGGGACACCATATGCCCTTGCATCAACTCAGTCTCAAGAAAATGAAAATTACTTTTTATCTGCTTACAAAAACTTGGATATAGAGAAATCTTCATTAAGTTAAGGATGTGTCCAAAGATAAATTACAATAACTCAAAAAAAAAAAAAAAAAGGCTGTGGACTTTTTCCAGTTTCTGAAAAGTGAATTGATGTTTTTCAAGTTTCCTAACTTAAGACATTTTTTCTTTCCCATATACTTAAATCATGATGACCTGTAACATTTGAAGCATCTGAAAATTGAAATAAATACCTTTTTTGGACATACTGTAATCAAATTATCTCATGTTGGCACCTTCCAGTTTCACATTTGTTACCTGTACTTGGGCTTCAAATTGAAGTCTGTTTTATATGTAAAATTTGATGTTTATAAAAGAATGGTAAATAGAAATGATTTTCTTTAATGTCAGATGATAACTGCTGAAATGTCAATTATTTATTTTGATTAAAGCTTTTGTATAGTGTTTTTACACAGGTATAAGCCAGCAGTGTCAATATTTACAGGATTTTGGCTCAGTACCTCAAGCTATATCTAACAGTGCAATTGCAATTTAGCAAACCTATGTCTACAATACCAAGTAGCATTTTCTCAATGTTCAGGTTTAGCTGTGTAAAAATTTAGCTTCATGTACGTTTTTGTCAGCCTTTTGAGATCCTTGGTAAATACTGTCGTGTGATCTATAGTCAAATGAACTTTTTAAGATGGAGTTTCTGTTTTCAATGGTATTGGATAAATTTGGAACTAGTTACGTACCTTAGTGCTGTACTAAATCTATACAAAAACTGCATGGTGGAGATAAATCTCAAGCCCTTCTATAACTTACATATCACTTGCTTACTGTTAATATTGTGACAACTGGGGCATCTCCACTTTTAATACAATGAAAACAAAATTTATAGAAAAGAAAAAACAGGATTCTGAAATGAATTTGAGTGCTCTGAGTAAGAGTTTAGCTCGGTGTGTTAATAATAGTACTTCTCACGCCCTCAACACTGCTGACAGGTCAGAGGTCTCTAGACTCTCTAGTATGGTAAGTAGAAAGTAAGTTTACGTCTTAGTATGACAGAGATCATTTTTTTACAGAGATCATTTTTTTAAAACTATAAATTGTTTTATTGTCTTTAAAAAATACAGCATTTTCTTACATAATGTGAAGTTTTTCATTGGGTGCTTGGAAAATGCAGTTGAGTGGTGAGCATATTTAAAATGAAGAACTAAAATTATCTTCTTGGTTTGCAGTTAAGGGTATGAGATTCGTTTCCAGCTCCTTTTGTTTCTGGAGAAGACCCTGCAATCACATTGATAGTTAGTGAAGGTGTGATAGCCAACTTAAATACATGGTAGGGAAAAATTATTGGCTCAGGATAGAATTGTTATTGGACATAGCTCAAGTTTCATCTTTTTTAGTAATTTTTGTAGTGGTCCCTCCTCCTTTGGTTGTTACCTAGCTAGAGTATTTTCTACTATATAAGCAACGTGGATGATTTCTTTCAAAATCATGAGAAGTGTGTCAGTGAGAGTCTTAGCTCTGCTGAAACAGTGTAAGGGTTTTATGGTGAAGTGTGCCTATCACACTTCTCTTGTTCCTTTGTGTGAGTTACCAAGGTTGAGTAATGTGCTCAAGCTATATGTAACCAGAGGTAGCACTTAAAGGATACAAGTAAATGGGTTAGTTTTCTAGTTTTAGGAAGAACAATAAAGGGTAAGCGACACGAGACAAATTCTTCTCAAATACAGTGTAATAAGCCCCCGGGTAGGTTTCAAATGTTACTGGATTTTATTTTTGCTTGTATAAAAACTTGGAGAAGTGTCTGGTGAATAGTTCCGTGTATATAATTTCATTCTTGGAACTAAACTTACGAAGAATGGACCATATTGGTTAAAATTCACTAAAGCATAATTGTATATTTGTTTCTTTGTTGTTTTAGCACTTTATTGTGTTTTGATGTTTAAATGTACATATTTTTAAATAAAAACTGTCTTAATATCCAAACTGTATTGGGACTTTTGTTCTTAGGATACAAACATATAGAGAGAACAAACATCTAAATAGATACTTATACTTGGTTAAAAGTTCATACCTGTCTTAATTCTGAAAGCCCCTTAAGGATAGCTTGCTGTCGATCCCTGTTTTTCACCAATTTAGGATTAAGAAGTGGATCCCTGGTATGGTCAGAGTTAAATAGCTCTTGTTGTTGGTCACAGTCTAAAGGACAGATGAGGTTTAAAATTGTCAAGCAAATTACTAATAGTTAGCAGTAATGTCTTAAACTTTTAATAGGCTTAGTGAACTCCCAACCCTACATGTTTCAGCATTTTTTTTTGTTTGTTTTGATACAGTTTCTCGAATTCATGGAGATCTGCCTGCCTCTGCCTGCCAAGTGCTAGTTCTAAGATTAAAGGCGTGCACCACCACTGTCTGGCCTTATATTAGGTTAGTATGTGTGTACATACTGGCTACGGAGGCTGAAAGCCTGGTGTTGGAGTTAAGTGGCACTGTAACACCTAATGTGGGTACTGGGAACCAAACTTCTGAAAGAGCAAGTCACTCTATCATTGAACCATCTGTCTAGCCCACATCTTCAATTTTTGTAGTAACGCTACTTAACTTACCATGAGATTTTTGGTATTGGTTCTCTTGGGTTGATGGCCTAGACAAAGGTGCGTCCGGATCAAGATAATAGATCTCATTTGTTCGAACATAGGGAATGAAGTGAGTTGTCTCAGACATCTCCTCTGATAACTGAGTTTGACCGTCTCCTAAGGCCAGGTTCTCTTTTTCATAGTCACTATTTTTTAATGGCGAGTGTACTGAATCAGTCTGAGTTTGCTGAGTTCTACTCTTTATTGCTGATAACTGGAACCTATTTAAAACAAAAACCCAAACTTTAATAAGAAATTACATGTTTTAGAACTAGAGTCATAAATGGTTGTGGGCCACCAAGTGGACATTGAGAACTGAATCCATGTCAGTGCTCTTAACTGCGGAGCCATCTCTCTGGTCCCTAGAAATGGCATGTTTTAGACACATCTAATCACATTGCAATTCATTCAAGATGTGTTTGGTCTACCTTAAGGAATACTATGGATATCAACCTAAGATCTGTAATTTTTCATAAAACAAGACCATATGGGGCATTTCCCATAAAGCTGTGCCCGTGCTATCTGAACTGAAGTCCCTGTTAGAGCTGTACTGTGAAACGAGTCTAAACCAGGTCTGGTCTGTGCATAGCAAAGGGTCACTACAAACCTCCCACCTAATAACTGCATTTTGTTTGTGTGTTTGTTTGCTTTTTACTGTTTTTAACTAATTCGTTTCCTTATCGGATTTATCCAGGCTGAATGCTTATTTCATAGACATGGAAAAAAATCAAACCTGTTTAGGTCCACTTCAGCTAAAAACAACAACAAAAAAAACCTCTATATATTAAATCAAATGAAAAGCCAGCCACACCTCTTTCCTACTACTGCCTTCATCTGCACATGGAACTGTCATCCAGATTTTGAATGGGTATTTTGTTTTGCACACAAGAAGCACTAAGTAGCTAAGGAAGTAATATACATACCATTCTTTAATATCTGAAGTTTTCAGAGGTTCTTCTGCCTAAAAGATGGATAACACAAGCAAACACGAAGTAAGAGTGACATCTTTCCATGTCCCTAGATACTTAGAACATTGTGTATGTACATGGCACGCGTGTGTCAGTGTCTGCACGGAAGGCAGAAGACAAAACTGCATCTGTCCTAGAAACACAGGCCATCAGGCTCTGAGGCAGGTATTCTGCTGAGCTTCCTCACTGACTTCTCAGACATGCTTAAATCATCTAATTAATACTGTATAGGATACAGTATAGTTCCAGGACCAGTAATTAATTCCTTTCTACATCAGCTGTATGGATTTTATTGTTTTAATGAAATCACAGTATTCTAATTATCTCACAAAGACTGCATACAGCTACTTTAAGGAAGGCACTCAAACACTTCATCAGCCCAAAACTACACACCACAGTGAACTTCTAAGTTAGAATGACCATTCTGGAGCTTTGCTAAGTTTTTTGGATTTTTTTTTTCTTCCTGAGAAGGGTCTCTAGGATTTCCTATGTAGACCAGGCTGGCTTCAGACCCTCTTGGTTATCTCGAGAGTGCTGGGATTAAAGAAATACCCGGCTCTGTTTAGGTCTTAAACTCACTACCATGCTTTTATTCACTTGTCTGTCAAAAAAGATAAATTAGCTTTTTATCTTTCAGGATTCATGTATCCTGCCTACATTTCATTCTTTAGTCGCCTATTATTTTTTGGTCCCCTAACGTATATTTGCTTGTTAAATTATAAGCTTTTGTTTGTTTGTTTTTTGTTTTGTTTTGCTTTTTTCAAGATACGGTTGAATTTTCTTTACATCTGAATACTACTTCATTTATGTATTATGACAGTTTTGTATACATTAGAATAAAGAAGCATTCATCTGAGTAAAGATTATTTGGCTTTTGGTGTTAGTCTCTAATACAGCTACTCAGTGCAGGTATTATACAACAGTCGGCTACTTCACATAACAAGCACAGATGTCTTCCTTTGACCACCGGTGTAATTTTCTGTAACCTATTAGATGAATCACAGCCTTCTGAATGCATGGATTTAGGTAACTACTTTGAATTCAGAAACATCAATACATACTTAGTAATGAAATAAAAACCTTACCTTTTTGATTAGCTGCAACCTGTTCTCTGACTCAGTTTCTCGATGAGATGGTGCAAGAACTTGTGGGGAAGGGCCTCTATTTTGGGAGAGGTTCTCAGGGTTGTTTCTCTCTAGTAAGTGAAGCAGCTCCATCTGCCTTCTTAACTTTTTTTCTTCTTTCTCCTTTTGGAGATGGATGGGGTACCTTGCTGATGCAGGGACATACCTTTTCAGAGGCTTGTTTATATTCCAAGCAGGCTTTTTAGGACATTTCTTCATACTATGTTTTGTTTGTTTCTCTGTTCTTCTGTACTGATTACACTGGCCATTATGCCAGCTGGTTTCTTTGTCTAAATTAGTGCCTTTAGCAATACTTAGTTCTTGCTTGTCTTTTTTAGTGCTAGTATGTCCATTAAACTCTGTAGAAATCTCTGGAGAAGAAAAGTTTTTAGTGCCCCTTTCTGTTAATGATCCACAGTGTTGTAGCTCATTGATGAAAATTCCCAAATTTAAGTCATCTAGATAAAAATTCCAAATGATTAACTTTAAATAAAACATATGGTGGAAATACACTTTTTTTTCTCAAAGATACGTAATGACTCTGTCTTTATTAGTCACATTTATTTATTTAGTGCGGTGGATCATGCCACATGTCACACACATGGGAGTCAAAGGACATCTTACAGAAGTCGGTTTCTTCTGCCATGTGAATTCCAAGGATGGAATTCGGGTCCTCAGCCTTGGTGGCAATCACCTTTACCTGTTGTGCCATTCTTCCATCCGTAAGAATTTATCCTCCAAATAAAACTATCCATTAAAGAACTGCTAATTATCCCCTTTAAAAGAAGCTGGTAACTACTATTCAGCTTTGATATTCTAGAAACTAGCCCTCATAACCAGCCCTGTGCTACACACCTGTCATTCCGGCAGAAAGGAAGCAAAGGCAAGAGGACTGGAGCGAGCTCCGCTAGCTTGGTCTACAGAGTTCCAGGCTATTCAAAAAAAATATAAAAGTAACAGATAGGCTTATTCAAATAGTATAAAACTCTGAATTTATAACCATGTTGAACACATTGCAGAATTTCTTTATGCTTATTCCACTGCATAAAACTGGCTTAATTTTGTTTATCTGCATACACACTTAGGTTGGGAGCAACCTCAAGAATGCTGCTGTGACTCCAAGTTTCTATTATTTGAGGAAGACCTGGAATTTTTCTGTGTTTTGTTTTAATTATTTTAGGTGTAAACCCCAAAATGGAATTGTTAAGTTTTTTGAGCAACTGCTGTACTGTTTTCTACAGCAGGTACAGCATTCAACCTCACCATTAACAAAGCAGTTTTAAGAATGCATTTGAGTGGCACCACAGATACCAAATGCCCTACACCAGTTCTCACCATACTGTAATATGAACTCTGGCTAGTCTGGTGTGCTGAGATAATCACAAGTAACTGGCAGAAAATAGTGATGTGGTTATGTCTGTTTCCTTCAGAAATGGGGGGGGGTGCTCTTGAGCCCCAAGAGTTAAACAAAAGGACACATGTCTAAGAAAAATCTTGAAGATTCTTGAGGGACCCCCCCATCCAGCACTATTAAAAAAAAAAAAGCCTTGCTAGAGGAGATTCTGCCCAGCAGAACTACATTGGAAAGTCTTACTGTGGTGCTGTCTGCAAGCTGTGCAGAACTCCAGGTTGCAGCTTTCAGGGTGGGCTCTTAGGTGATGTAGCTGCTTTGGAGTTATCCCTGATCCTCAGTAGTAACCCCTCCTGTTAGTAACCCCAATAAAACTACCTAGTTCACCAGTGGGACATTGGTGCAGCTGTCACTCTGCTCTCTGGGCTTCCTTTCTGGGGTGAGATGTTACATCTCCCCTGGAAAAGAATCAAAGATGCCTCTGCAGAACTTAAAAACTTCCAAACCTAGGAGCTGGCGGAAGAACTGGTCTGGCAGGTTAAGAGCAGTACTTCCTTTGAAGTTTGCTTCCCAGCACCTATCTACCTATCTACCAGGAAATTGGACACTGTCTTCTGGTTTCCATGGGCACTGTATTCATTTACACTCACCTATCCACCCCTATACATATATACTAAATTAAAAATCTTTTAAAATATTCAGGAGTGTCTTTAAAATTTAAAACCAACACATCACAAAATACATGCATTATCAGTCAGTCACTGGGGTAATGCAGATTAGAATCCAAGATTTCCAAGGACATGGAGAGATAAGAACACTTCTACATTGCTAAGAGAGATGCTTTGGATGATAGTTCAGCGGCTCCCCAATACCTATCACATAACTCAGAAATTCTAACTCTTTCCTAAGAGAACAAAACATCTACAGAAAAAGTAGAAATAGCTGAAATGGCCACAGATAGAATATCCAGTATAATTCACACAGGGAAGTCTAAGGAATAAATGGAATTGTGTCATAATAAGATCTACAACATAGATAAACCCGCATATCATGCTGGAAGTCAGTAAGCCAGAAACAAAAGACCACTTTAACAGCATAATTCTGGTTACATGAAAAGTACAGAACAGTTAGAATGTTCTAGGACGGTGAGCTGGAGAGAGTAGAAGGGCCACTTATTTGTGAGTTACTGAGTACTGAGCTCATTTCCAGTGTGCATACACTAAAACGGGTGAGATTAGCATGGCCCCTGTGCAAGGAGGACGTGCAAATTGGTGATGTATTCTGTATTTTTAAAAAGCATCTTTCATAGAAAATAAATCTGAGTACTGAAAAGGTTATAAAACTGATGGTAACTGCACAAGTATGAAGAAGATGTTAAAGAACATCAGACATCTGGACATGGTGCACACCTTTAATTAGAGCTTAGAAGGGAGAGGCAGGAAGATTTCTGAGAGTTCCAGACCAGCCTGGTCTACATAGTGAGTTCCTATGCAAATTTCTAGGTAGAAATTTGATCAAGCGCTTGCCTAGCATGCACTATATTCTGGGCTCAATCCCCAGGGGCACAGTGCTACATGCCTGTAATCCCAGTGTTCCACATGTGGGGGCAGGAATATTAGTTCTTGGTCACCCTTGGCTACAAGACACCTCATTGCAAAGATGTCTTTACTTTAAATGTGAAACAGAACAATAAAGCTCTCCATGAATACCTGTCTGCACGCCAATGTCCGTCCTGGGAGAGTTTGTGGAAGGGGTAGCTGCACGGGTTTCTTCAGCAGCCTCCTCAGCATCTCTTCCTGAACTGGAAATGGTAGTGGACGCCTTATAATCCACTATTGCTGTGTTAAATGGCAATGAGAAACAGACCTTAAAATGACACGCAGAGTACTACCACTCCAGCTGCTGACGGTGTCTGCCTAGCACAAAAGGCCCTGGGAAAGTAGAGCAGCAGTCAAAGACTTTACCCAATTGTCATAAACTGTAGTCAAATTTTTGAAAGGCTAGTCTTACAGTGTAGCCTAAATTTATTATTAAAAGTTACCTATATTCTTGGACCTTGCTGAATTTAAAAATCTAAGGATGGAAAAGTGCACATTTTACCTATGTCAGGATTACTGTGAAAATTTCTATGAAAAAGATTGCAACATGTACTGTTTTAGGGCAGTTTTCTCAAGGTGGTTGAGCGAAAAGCTTCCATTCCTTTAAAAATATTTAATTAATGTGTGTTTTTAAGGATTTAAAGTAGACAAGTATTTAAAATCATCCTCAGAACCAAAACTATCAATAAAATTCCAATTAGTCACTTACCGCCAAGATTCTTAATCAGCCTGGATGTGTCATGTCCTTTCTGAGTCAGTTCTCGGATCCTCTGCTCCTGCTTCAGTCTCTGCGCCAACTCCTGAGCGCGCTGCATGGTGTGGAACAGCTGGTTTGTCTTTAGAGTCATGATTTCCTAGCAAGATTAACGTATCCAGTAAAAGAGTTAGCAAGCACATTCAGTGACGTGACTGGTCACATTCAGTACAAACACTCAAGCTTCCCCGACAGAGCGGGTGCTGGGATAGGTATCAGCTGAGGAACAGTCATTAGGGCCTGCTAGCGATTATAATTCTAACATGCCTGTTCTTGCTATTAGACAGGAACTCCAAACGTTGAATTACAGGTGTGTACCCCCACTATGCCATCTGTCTCAGCCTAGTCCATGAAACTGGGGTGCAAACCATACCTTTCCACATCCTACTTTTGAAAGGTACAAAGTAGAAACTGGCAAGAAAGTGCAGACCTGGTGTTTTTACCACTGACAACTGAAACAGCACCGGATGCTCTCTCTGCTCTTCTGTCCGGTCAGCTCAGACACAGCACTGGACTACCCTACCTACTCAGCCCAATGGAAGCCTCTAACACAGTCAGGAATTTCTTCAGCAATCCCAGCCAATCATTGCTCTTTTTTAATATCTAGAATCATTATTACTTTTGATTTATTTAGGGGTGAGGAGGTGCTAATGTTTGTACCACAGTGTGTATATGGAGGTCATAAGTCAGCTTTCCAAATCCTTTCTTGGGACATGTGTTCCAGGTACTGGTGGTGAACACGCCTTACCTGCTGAGCCGGGCTCTATGTATCTGCTATCCAGATAATAATGAAGCTTGGTGCTGCGCTCACCCTGAGCACCTCCCATTAACATGCCAGCATGCAGCATCTGAGACGTGGACCATATGAGGAGCGCGACCCTGCCAGGCCTCCCTTTCCTTAGCTGTAATGTTTCCACATGTAGCTGTACAATTCAAAATGTGCAGACCTCCAGCCTCTTCCTTACGTCCACAATACAAGTACCTACTTCTTTCTGTTTCTGCTTCAGAATGTCCTCTTCGTATTGCCTCTGCATCTCCTCCCGTTCCCGAGCCAAGCGCTGCTCCTCTTCCTGCTCTTCCTTCTTTCTCTGTTCTTCTTCCTGTTGCTTCTTCCTGCGGTTCTCTTCTACCTGAGCCATGATTGCTTTCTAGTCAGAAGTAATTACAAGTTACTCTCACAAACAAAAATTTATATAGCGCTGGCTTTGATGATAATATAATTTATCAGTTAGACACACAATGGAGGGTGGGGATAATTGTGCTTCCTAGCATGTGTATCACAAAAGAGAATCAACTAAAGGAATTACCTCACTACTTGCCACACTGACTAATAAATGGGAGATACTCTCAGCTTTGTACTGTGATCAAAAAAGAAAATTAACTGGGCAAATTACTCACAAAACATTCACAAGAATTGCTGAGCCTGGGCACAGCGGTGCACGCTGAGTGCCATCTGCACTGGGCACAGAGTGTAGAGATATGTCATCTGTATTTTAATAAATGAAGCTTATTCATTTATTAAACACAGCCCCACTGGTCAGCCATACAGACCAGGCAGTGGTGACACACACCTTTAATCCCAGTAGCCACACTAGTTGCCATAGAAACTGAGTGGTGCCTGTGTTTAATCCCAGCCCTAGAAAGGATTTTAAAATGAGAGGAGACAGCTCTCAGGCACAGTCTCATTCTGAGATTCTTAGAGGCAGGATCGCCATTTTCAGACCAAGGTCAAGGTAAGAGCCAGTGCCTGGTTGCTTTGCTTTTCTGACCTTCAGATTTAACTCCAATTTCTCTCTCTGAGTTTTTATTAATTGTGCTTCAACTGCATGCTGAATGTCTATCTGTGGCCCCTGCTACTCAGAAGACTAGGTAAGAAAATGTTTGAGCCACATCTGAGCAACATGGCTCATTTCAACATCAAACTCTTCAGAGAAAAGAGAACCACAAAACCTTAGATCATGAAATGTCTCTAACGTCAGCCTGAAAAGAGTTTTAATCTTAGCCTTATATTACCTACTGGATTGCTTAGTCAGACATCTACTTTGATTTTTTTTTTGGTATGTTTTCTTTCAAAGACCCAAATGGAACTCTGAGGGAGTAGCTAATATTTAATAATAGTTCAAAGTCATGTATACAACATACTCATTTAATAGATCCACCAGAAGGCAGGATGCATGACAATAATACTGTCTGGTCCTCAGCCCAAGCTTATTTCTAATAGTATACCAGTTGTGTTAAAAGACTCGATTTACAGCAGGATATAACTGAACCCAAGCTGAAAATCGGGATTTGGGAGGTGGAGATCAAGAATTCAAGACCAGCCTTGGCTAACATTCAAGCTTCTCTCGGGGAAAAAATACTCAGTTTTCCATTTACTTAAGTGTGTGCTGGCCATCTAAGGCAAAGAACACTGTTTTACAATGTGAGGCACAATACGCAAACACCAAAAGTGTGATACCTGATGCTCTAATTGTTTGTGCCGGCGTTTTTCCCGCTCCTCAATCTGTGCTGGGTCCAAGAGCGCAGTCATAGAACGGAGAAAGCTGTGAAACACACATTATTCATTCAGAATTGCCAGAAAGGTTAACCATTTTTTGCTTAAGCTACATCTTTAATCACTTCTATTTCAAAGAAAAATGCCAAGCTGAAACTACCTGACATAGTGAGTTCTAGTCAAATACACTTTCTGAAGACTAAAGGCTAGATGTCAACTTACTTTGTTTTCTGACTGTATGACACAGTCATATCCGTGACAGGTTTGGCTCTCTGTTCTTCTGAAGGGTCCAGCTGGATGGCAAGTGGAGGTGTGTAAACACTGTGGCCATCAGCCAGCTCCTGAGTGTCAGGAGAGACACAACAGGACTCCAGGGGTTGGTGCGTCCGCTGACAGGCCAGCCGAGATTGAGAGCCAGCATGGCTCGTTAAGGAATCAAAGTGCACTGCCCATCTGTCATGTTCCTCGCCCTGATAGTGACAAAAGAGAAACACCCAGAACCTTTTCAACTGCTCCCGTACAAAATTCGAAACGACAAACAGTGGCGGCTGGAGAGAGAGCTGCTCTTCCAAGAAGAGATCTGGCTTTCGTTCCCAGCACCTGCCTGGCAGCTGGCAATTGCCAGTTACTCTAGTTCCAGGGGACCCTAACTCTCATCTGGCCTCCTTGGCCACTATACACACGCGGGACAGACATATCTGCAGGCAGAGCACCTATTCAAATTTTTAAAAAAGTGAACAAAATCTCAAAAAGAAGTCAAGTAGTTTACGCATCATAAAAACTGACAAATTGTATTTTTTAATTCCTTATATAATTAGGTAACTATCTTGAGAATTTTTTTAAAAATTCATTTCTAAAGTTTATTTATTTATTTACTTTTATTCTGTGTGCATTGGTGTTTTGCCTGCAGGTAAGTCTGTGTGAAAGAGTCAAATCTTGGAGTTGTTAGCTGTCATGTGGGTGCTGGGACTTGAACCTGGGTCCTTTGGGAAAGCGGTCAGTGCCCCACACCACACTGAATACATTCTATGAAAGTTTCATAAGCATATTTAACTTGCCAAATCATTTCACAATATGCATAAGTTTGTAAGTACTTGGAATCTTACAAACTTCCTGAGTCACCTCCGAACGTATCATTTCCTTGGCTGGCCATCTACTTGTTTACTCAAGTCGGCAGCCCATTTCCCCTGCTGCTCCTGTCTGGCAGAGCTGCAAGGATACTCTAGCAGTCCTGCTTCCTAAGGAAGTCAGTCCGCGACAGGGTCATCTTAGCGGGGTATTCACTCAGATCTAACCCAGGAAGGCATTTTTCCCTGGGAGAAGCAATGCTGATAAGCAAAGAATCTGTTCATAGCACTAAGGAGACACACTCTGACCCTCAGAATTGCATATTAAACATTTTCTGGTAGACAGTGTAAAACATCTAGGTACACAGAAAGAAAATGTTGTATTTAATTGATTCTTCATTTAAAACAGCCTCTAAATTTGCAATTTTTGGAAAGAATATTCTGGCAACTGAGTAGATCTGCCAAGAATAAAAGCAGCACAGCAACGAACATTCCAGCCTGCTTCACACACTCGCCCGGTGATGTTCACAACAACTAACATTCCAGCCTGCTTCACACACACTCGCCCGGTGATGTTCACAACAACGAACATTCCAGCCTGCTTCACACACACTCGCCCGGTGATGTTCACAACAACTAACATTCCAGCCTGCTTCACACACACTCGCCCGGTGATGTTCACAACAACGAACATTCCAGCCTGCTTCACACACACTCGCCCGGTGATGTTCACAACAACGAACATTCCAGCCTGCTTCACACACACTCGCCCGGTGATGTTCACAACAACGAACATTCCAGCCTGCTTCACACACACTCGCCCGGTGATGTTCACAACAACGAACATTCCAGCCTGCTTCACACACACTCGCCCGGTGATGTTCACAACAACGAACATTCCAGCCTGCTTCACACACACTCGCCCGGTGATGTTCACAACAACGAACATTCCAGCCTGCTTCACACACACTCGCCCGGTGATGTTCACAACAACTAACATTCCAGCCTGCTTCACACACACTCGCCCGGTGATGTTCACAACAACGAACATTCCAGCCTGCTTCACACACACTCGCCCGGTGATGTTCACAGAGCCAGGAAATGGAGCCAGCTGCTGGCTGCTGGCTGCTGGGCAATGAAGTATGGACAGCTACACAACGAAATACAATTCAGCTGTTAAAGGAAAGAGAAAGAAATCTTGAATCATGGAACGTGCAGGTAAATGGACGAACTAGAAAACATGCTGACATCGAAAGACAAATGCTGAATAGCCTCGCCCACGGCTCCTAGTTCCAAGTCTTCAGATGTCTCAACCTGCATACCAGATACTTACGTTATGATCTGTAACAGTAGCAACAAAATAATTTTATGGTTGGGGGTCGCCAAAACATGAGGAACTGTATTAAAGGGTCAGAGCATTAGGAAGGTTGAGAACCACTGTCCTAGAGAAACTTCAGAAACCAGGAAAGAAAATGGGATGTGGGGTGGGGTAAGGGGTTCTCTAGTGAGAATGGCAGGAAGTACATAGGGAAAAGGGGAAGGGGCTTCTACTGAGGCGTAGGAGGAGGGAAAGCAATACGGAAGGAGATGGAGGAGGGATAAATAATAAGAATGACAGGAGTTATTTAATAATAATTAATAATAATTTAGTAATATTAAGTATTATTTTATGTTTACCTAAAATTATATCTAAGTGTATATGTATACAAATGTATATTTTAAATGAAATTACACCATTTGGGTCATTGTACCTCCACCAAGAACCACAGACTATCTAGCAAAACTCCTAAGCCAACCACGAGAAACCTTTCAAGTTGCTGGTCAGAAGAGTGCAAGAGGCTCCCAAAACAAGATAGGGTATTTCTAGTCAGTAAGTCCATCTTGCTGAAGACACCACATCCTTAGAGGGCCAGAGCATCCTTCCTGCAGACTAGCTGTCATAGCACAGGAGGTCAGGGAGGAAGCAACCAGTAGTCCCATCCAGCTGTGATGCCCAACAGTGACCAGCATACGGGACAACAGTGGCACTCATATCTTGGCAGTAATCAATGCTGTCTAACTGAACTCAAGGAAGGTCTGCTTAATAGGAGGGAAATCATGCTTGCTTCTGTAAACCTAGTCAGCTATAGTATGGCTAATGAGATTCTGGGCCTTGGGAAACCTACAACTATCAGTTCCCTAAACCAGTGTAATTCCTAGCTGTAATCTAAATACTTACCCTTATACCCACACGTAAATACAGACCTCACCTCTCATCAAAGAAGCTTCTTTTTGTAGCAGCAGCAGCAGCAGCAGCAAATCATTATAGAAAGACACGACTTGCCAAAGGCCCAGGTGATACTCTACAACACAAGACCTACTGATGTGGGAGTGATTTCTTATTAATAAAGAAACTGCCTAGGCCCCTTGATAGGCCAACCCTTAGGTGGGTGGAGTGAACAGAACAGAATGCTGGGAGAAAGAAGCTGAATCGAGGAGTCGCCATGATACTCCCACCCTACACAGACGCAGGTTAAGATCCTCCCTGGTAAGCCACCTCGTGGGCTACACAGAATATTAGAAATGGGTTAGAACAATATGTAAGAGCTAGCCAATAAGAGGCTGGAACTAATGGGTCAGGCAGTGTTTAAAAGAATACAGTTTCTGTGTAATTATTTCTGGGCATAAGCTAGCCATGCGGGCAGCTGGGTGCTGGGGACGCAGCCCCGCCGCTCCCCTAATATTACAACCTACATCTACAGCTCAGAGAACCTCACAGAAGAAGGGGTAGAAAGACTTTTAGAGCCAAAGAAGCAGAAAGTCTGCCTGTAAATGTGTCTTCTAGCTATGATAGAGAAGCTACAACCAAGAAATCGCAACACGGCTGCCTAAAGAAGACATGAACAACAGTTGACATCCCAGTGAAGATGGGGAACTCTCAGGCCCCATCCATAGATGAAGACCTAGGAGTCAAAGGGGGGAGAAGTAGTCTTCCCCAGGGATGAGGCCCCTGGTTACTCAATACCAAGTGCTCAGTCCTTGAAACACGAACACGCGGGCAACAGTGAACTGACTCAGTGGGTTTTATCTCTAAATGTATTTGTCTGTATGTGTGTGCAATAGCAATGGATAAAGAAGAGAAGACACTGGAGTTGGTACAGGAGCAGGACAGAAGAGGGGAATGATGTAATTTTAATTAAATTTTTAAAAAATATTTTCAATTAAAAATCACTTAAACTGTGACTCATAGAATTTTAGCATACAGTTCAAATTCCTAGTTTTTCACATTCTTTACCATGCTTAGAGTTGTATCTACCCAGAATCTTCGGCCAAATCAAAAAATAAAAATATTCTAGCGCTGTCCTTCATCCAGACATGTAATTTAAGAGCAAAATGTTTTTATCAAATCAGCTTCTTCTGGGAGTGGGTGTGGGATAGGGAGAGATCATCTACAAGTGTTGTTTATTCCTCAGACCCCATCCATCCTGCTTCTGTACGCAGGGCTTTCTCACCGCAACCTGAGGCAGGTTAGGCTGATGGCCAGCAAGCCCTGGGGTCTGCTGTCTCCACGTCTCCAGTGCTGGGTCACAAGCCTGCACCCCCACTCAGGCCCTCTTGGCTCTGCTGTTTATCCAGCCCCACCATTCTTCTTTTGAAGATCTTTTTAAATAAACATCAATTTTTATTTATTTTTATTGGAGGGGGGAATGAGACGGTTTCTCTGTGTAACAGCCCTAGCTATCCTGAAACTAGCTCTGTAGACCAGGCTGGTCTTGAACTCACAGAGAGCCACCTGCCTCTGCCTCCTGAGTGCTGTGATTAAAGGTGTGCACTACTGCTGCCCTGTTGAAATATTAATCTTAATTTAGACTTTTTTTTTTTTGAGACAGGTTTTCTCTGTATAACCTTGACTGTCCTGGAACTCACTCTGTAGACCAGACTAGCCTCAGACTCACAGAGATCCACCTGCTTCTGCCTCCGAGTTCTGGGATTAAAGGTGTGTGCCACAACCATCTAGTTTAATCTAGCCTTTTTGATTAAGATTATTTCTACAAGTAGCATTAGTTGTGAATATTAACTCTAGCTTGCATTCCTTGGATAAATCCTACTCTCCATTTTATTCTTTGTAATTTTTCCAAGGTTTCTAGTCAAGTTTTAACATCACAAGTGTTTTGTTGGTCTTGGTTATCAAGATCACTAGCTCAACACTGCACTAAAAACCTTCCTATTGTAAATACATCTGGGCCCGGAATTTACTTTGCTGGGGTCCCCTCTTTCCCTTCTTAATCTTTGGCTTGAGATAAGGTCTCACTATACTGTAGCTCAGGCTACCCTCAAACTTATGACCTCCAGCCTCAGCTTCCTGAATATGGACACTTTGAATGATGGATTCAATTTCTTCAGAAGCATATTACCACTTGATC